AGGAAGAGAAAGGAAAACAGTTCACTAGAAAAGAGAAAAAGACTCGAAGATCTCAAAAACAGGAGAAGGGAATAAGTTCCAAAGCATTAATAAAAGACGAGTCCATGGAAAAAGATTTAGTGTTATCAACTTTGTGCATATAAATGGTCAATTTTGATTAACCATAGTTTGTAAGTTCTTTAATTGTTCTTTATACGGCAAGATTTATTTCAGAATAGAACAGCATACTCCTAGGGGAGAAATTCTTTGGGGGATAATACATTCAAAACAAAAATAAAGTTTTCAGATCAAATTAAGCTCAAGACCGTATCTAATGCTTACTGAAGAATTTTTTCCTCATTTCCCTAGAGTATTTTCAATTATTTTTAAATGATCTAATTTTTTTTAAAGTCTTTGAATTAAAATGAAAAACATAATTAATACTTTGGGAGAAAGGAATGAGAAGATGGATACCACAGAATATGATAATTCCAAAAAAGGTATGACTTTCTGGACTGGATAACAAATCTGAGACAAGGAAAAGGAAATTTGAGATACTCAAATATTCTCCTAAATTGATCACTTCCCTTAATTAAGAAACTCCTAGGACAGGCATGCTGGTTCACACCTGTAATCCCAGCACTTTGGGAGACTAAGGTGGGCTGATCACCTGAGGTTAGGGGTTCAAGGCCAGCCTGGCTAACAGGGTGAAATCCCATCTCTATAAATACACAAAAATTAGCCTGGCATAATGACGAGTGCCTATAATCCCAGCTACTCGGGGAGGCTGAGGCAGGAGAATCTCTTGAACCTGGAAGGCAGAGGTTGCAGTAACCAGAGGCCACACCATTACACTGGCAACAGAGCCAGACTTCATCTCAAAAAAAAACAAAAGAAAAAAAAGAAATCACTATATTTTGTTTACATTTACTAGAAAGGAACAGAAAACAGATTTTTTAAATTTAGTAATGAAAGGACTAATGTGTGTGTGAAAGAATTAGTAATTCATTCTACTTAGACACTTTTGTGAAAAAAAGCAACATTTTCTGCATCCTTTTTGAATGTGACACATTTTAAAGGTACTCTGATATCAAAAATGCAATTTCAAGTAGAAAGTAATTCTTCCTCTAATCACAGAAGCTGATTACTTAATGCATAAAAGAATTTTAGACAAGAAATTCCTTTCCAAATCAAAAAAGGAATTCTGGTCAGGAACAGTGGCTTACACCTGTAATTCCAGCACTTTGGAAGGCCAAGGTGCAAGGATTGCTTGAGACCAGGAGTTCAAGAGCAGCCTGAAAAATAGAACAAGACCCCATTTCTGGGGGCCGGCCGTGGTGGCTCATACCTATAATCCCAGCACTTTGGGAGGCCGAGGGTGGATCATGAGGTCAAGAGATCGAGACCATCCTGGTCAACAAGGTGAAACCCCGTCTCTACTAAAAATACAAAAATTAGCTGGGCATGGTGGCGCGCGCCTGTAGTCCCAGCTACTCGGGAGGCTGAGGTAGAAGAATTGCTTGAACTCAGGAGGGGAGGTTGTGGTGAGCCAAGATCACGCCATCACACTCCAGCCTGGGTAACAAGAGGGAAACTCCGCCTCTCAAAAAAAAAAAAAAAAAAAATCCATTTCTAAAAAAAAATTTTAAATTAGCCAGGCAGGTGGCTGATGCCTGTAGTTCCAGCTACTTGGGAGGCTGAGGTGGGAGGATCACTTGAGCCTGGGAGTTTGAGAGTACAGTGAACTATGATCGGGTCACTGCATTCTAGCCTAGGAGAGACAGCAAGACTCCATCTCAAAACAAAGTAATAATAATTTTTTTTTTTGAGATGGAGTCTTGCTCTGTCACCCAGGCTGTGGTACAGTGGTGCAATCTCAGCTCTGTCCCCCGGGTTCAAGCGATTCTCCTGCCTTAGCCTCCTGAGTAGCTGGGATTATGGGCGCGTGCCACCATGTCCAGCTAATTTTTGTATTTTTGATAGAGATGGGGTTTCACCATGTGTGGTCTCGAACTCCCTACCGCAGGTGATCTGCCTGCCTCAGCCTCCCAAAAGTGCTGGGATCACAGGCATGAGCCACCATGCCCGGCCAAAAAAAAAATGTACTTCAGGCTGGGCAAGGTGGTTCTTGCCTATAATGCCAGCACTTTGGGAGGCGGAGGTAGAGAAACTCCTTTTGAGCTCAGGTGTTTAAGACCAGCCTGGGCAAATTCTTGTTGCCCAGGCCAGAGTGCATTGGCGTGATCTCGGCTCACTGCAACCTCCGATTCCCAGGTTCAAGTGATTCTCCTGCTTCAGCCTCTCAGGTAGCTGGGATTACAGGCATGTACCACCACACCCAGCTAATTTTGTATTTTTAGTAGAAACAGGGTTTCACCATGTTGGTCAGGCTGGTCTCGAACTCCCGACCTCAGGTGATCCGCCTGCCTTGGCCTCCCAAAGTGCTGGGATTACAGGCATGAGTCAACACGTCTGGCCTTGTCTCTATTTAAAAGGAAAAAAAAGTACAATCAAATTGGGATTTTTAATTTTTTTTTCTTTATCAGCAGCATGAAATCAAATTGGGATTTAAATATTACCTCCAATAGTTAAATTTTCTTTCTTGAATAGAGAAGTCTCAACTCTTGAAATGTACCAAAAGCTTACAATTGCCACAAGACCATTTCTCCAGATAAGTGGTACTCACAGTAATGTGACCCCAGTAATACATTTGTTAGTAGAGGCCCCATGGAGTCCATCATGCAGTGTTCTAAGACTTCAATTTTTTTTTCTTTTGAGATGGGGTATCACTCTGTCACACAGCCTGGAGTGCAGTGGTGCAATCTCAGCTCACTGAAACCTCCACCTCCCAAGCCCAAGCAATCCTCCCACCTCAGCCTCCCAAATAGCTGAGACTACAGGTGCACAACACCACACCCAGCTAATTTTTGTATTTTTGGTAAAGACAGGGTTTCACCATGTTGCCCAGTCTGGTCTCAAACCCCTGAGCTCAAGCAATCTGCATGCCTCAGCCTCCCCAAAGTGTTGGGATTACAAGTGTGAATCACCACACCCGGCCTCTTTTTCTTAATTTTTTTGTTATAAAGACAGGGTAACTCGCTATCTTGCCCAGGCTGGTCTCAAACTCCTAGGCTCAAGCAATCCTCCCACCTTTGTCTCCCAAAGTGTTGGGAACAGCTGTGAGCCACCACACTCAGCCAACCTCAAATTTCTATGGTAGAAATAATAGAAGTCACTCAAATGTAATCAATGTTAACAAAGGAAAGTTACACGACTCTGGGTATCCACAAGCCTAAAAACACAAAGCATGACACATGGCTCATTTTGTCTCACTCAGGTTGGCTCCTGTTAACAAACATCTACTGGCCCTCTTCTAGGACATCTGCTTAATAGCCACTTGAGTTCGCCTTGAATTCTGGAATGCTTGAACTCCAGATTCCCAGTGGTTTGAATTTAGGTCTATTCTGTCTTTCCAGAGTACTAGAGAGAACAGTCAGTTCTCACACACACCCCAAGATTGCTGGTGAAGTTTCTCCATCATGATTGGCTGTACCTTAGTAGCTACTGTCACTATGCAGACTTAATGAGTAAAGTGAATAGAGTAACTGCCCAGCCATCCTTTGCTCCCTAGGATTCTGAAAGTTTACAATGCTGGGAAAGAAAAGCAGAGAACTGTCTGCCTACCTATATCAGACATGAAAATAGGCCATAAAGTTTCTCAACATTTCTTTTTCTAATTTTGACTTAATTAGGTCTCTTTTTTTATTAGCCAAAGGGGGAAAATGATCCTTGAGGTTTGAAACAATAATTTTAAAAACCAAGAATATATGAAATTATATTAAAAATAAAATGATTCAGCCGGGCGGGGTGGCTCACGCCTGTAATCCCAGCACTTTGGGAGGCTGAGGCGGGTGGATCACGAGGTCAAGAGATCGAGACCATCCTGGTCAACATAGTGAAACCCCGTCTCTACTAAAAATACAAAAAAATCAGCTGGGCATGGTGGGGCATGCCTGTAATCCCAGCTACTCAGGAGGTTGAGGCAGGAGAATTGCCTGGACCCAGGAGGCGGAGGTTGCGGTGAGCCGAGAATCGCGCCATTGCACTCCAGCCTGGGCAACAAGAGCGAAACTCTGTCTCAAAATAAATAAATTAAATAAATAAATAAATAAATAAATAAAATGATTCTGAAAAATGAAGTCCTGTTCCCTCAAATGGCCCCACTTTTCCATTAAAAAGGAACAAAAAGGGGGGATTCAGTACTTTTTTTCCTCTAGTATCTAATTACATGCTTAGGTAATTTTTAAATACATACTTCAAAACTGTAAGCTTCATTACATTTTTACATTTCAAAGCAAAACAGAAAAAATGAAACTGTGTACTTGATCAAAATTAGAGGAAATTATCTACACGCACATACTTGCATAATGATTATAGCATAATGTTAACTACAAACAAAGTCTGGGAGCTAAATTGAAGAAGTGAGTCTGACAGATATATTTGGCTTAGTCATTTCTGCATATATGGATACCAAGTGAAAATGTGAAATAAAAAAGAACTAACCCTAGATCACAGGTCTCACTCTTGAGTCTGGGATGACAATTCCAAGTTTGTATTTAGAACCTTAGTCATATGTCAGGATGAGTCATTGTACCATTAGAGCCCACTCTTTTTCTTTTTTTTTTTTTAGAAACAGTTTCACTCTGTTGCTCAGGCTAGCATGCAGTGGCACCATCTGGGCTCACTGCTGCAGCCTCCGCCTACCGAGTTCAAGTGGTTCCCGTGCCTCAGCCTCCCAGGTATCTGGGATTACAGGCGTGCACCACCATGCCCAGCTAATTTTTGTATTTTTAGTAGAGACAGTGTTTCACCATGTTGACCAGGCTGGTCTTGAACTCCTGACCTCAAGTGATCCTCCCACCTTGGCCTCCCAAGTGCTGGGATTACAGACATGAGCCATCACGTCTGGCTGAGCCCAGTCTTTAATAACGTGTACTTATGAGAAGAAATGTTTTACTTACTCTGGTCAGCATAGTTTTTTGCTTTGAGCTCAAGTTGTCTTGTTTGAGATTCTAAAGACTCCACTCGGGTCTGTAAGTCCTTTTTTTCCTGTTCTTGAGAGTCTTCAAATTCAATGAATTTCTAATAAAGAAGAACAATATAAATGTCATCAGAGAAATTAAGCTTTGTATTTTCAACTCCTGTATTTCTTGGACTCAATAATCACAATTAGGTATTAGCTACTTAGATCTCAGAATGATGAACATGGGTTGACTTTTAGTTTTTCTATAAAAATTAAGTTTTAAAAACTCCCAAATATAGAGGAAAAAAAATGACAAAATAAGGAGTTTCCACTTCATATTATAGGCATTCCGTATGATATACGTGTCCTACTACAAATATGTAAATCCTTTTGTATGCTTGCATATGCATCTTGATTTCCAGACAATTTAAAAATCTATAATATGTACAGCAGAGAAAAGAATAATGGAATAATCAATAAATATTTGTTAAATGACTGTTTAATAGTCATAGATTCACCTGAACCATGGAGTTTAAATTCCTAAGAAAAGGACATGTGTTATGAATACCTCCACCACTCAAATCTAACTTAACTTACTAAAACTGTTCTCATCAAGGGTAATAACACTAAGTGCAATCACTAAATCTCAGACTTAATCTTGATTGTTGTATCAGCAACATCTGAAGAGTGATCACTCTCTCCTTAAAACATTTTTTTTTAATTTGGCTTCCAGCACATTTTCATGTTTGCTGCTCTTCTTTGGTAGTACCTCCTTTTCTCCCCACCTTCTTAAAATTGGCATGCTCTGTCTTTGAACACAATTTCTCTTCCTTGTTTACACTTATTCCCTAGTGATCTCATCCAGTTTCATGGCTTTAAGTATGAACTACATACTGTATGCTGACAACTTCCAAATTTCTATCTCCAGCCCAGACCTGAATTCCAGATTTGTATGTCCAACTGCCTGCTGGGTATGACTTCAATTGCATGTCTACAAAGCATCTTAAGGCTGAGTATGGTGGCTCATGCCTGTAATCCCAGCACTTTGGGAGGCCAAGGCAGATGGATCACAAGGTCAGGAGTTCAAGACCAGCCTGGCCAACATGGTGAAATTTATTTCATGTATTTTAGTCTCTACTAAAAATACAAAAAATTAGCTGGGTATGGTGGCGTGTTCCTCTAATCCCAGCTACTCGGGAGGCTAAAGCAGGAGAACTGCTTGAACTAGGACCCGGGAGGTGGAGGTTACAGTGAGCTGAGATCACGCCCCTACACACCAGTCTGGGCTACAGAGTAAGACTCCATCTCAAA